CCCCCCCCCCCCCCGCCCCCCGCGCGCCCGGGCGCGCGGGCGCGCGGGCGCGCGGGGGAGAGAGGGAGAGAGAGGGAGAGAGAGGGAGGGAGGGAAGAAAACGTATTTAGTAAACATTTCATACCCATTTTCCAGATTGGCAGAAAGACAGAAAGTATTGTGGAACAGCCTTGTGGTTCTTCAAGGTGCCAGCTTCAGTCCATGAGACAGAAAACGCTGTCTGACTTAAAGTGCCTCCAAGCTCACGGCATCTTTTGTTTCATCTGAACTTTATCAAAGCACCATGGAAAACTTATACATTGATTTTACAAACCTCTTACCGTGTTTGTTTCTCTAGAATACCATTTTTTTTAACCTCTGTGCTTACAGGACTATTTGAGTATCTTGTTTGCTCAGGAAAACGTTTAGCTCTGAATATTCAAAATTATAAACGTGTATCATTAATAACAACACACCTCCCAGAATGTTGAAGTTCAAACCAAAGTAAAAATACTGTTATCTAAGCTTGATGGAATATCACTTTCAAAAATTATATGTATTTTTGCCAAATTCAAGCAGTAACTATCCATGTAACTTAATAGTATTATTTTTATAAATAGAAATACATATATACATGCATACAAAAATATTAAAATTATTGATAGAGTCTTATAAAATCAGAAATAAAAGAGCTGTTGTAGTTCATAAAATATGGACAGAATAAAAATTTCTAAATAAACGCAATTGCCTTCCCTGTCCCCATATATACACATAAAGTAGGAGGTATAGTTGGTCCAAGTCATCAAGATGATTGAATTAACCTGTCGTGATAGAAAGCATCCATCCTAAAATGAAAATCTGTCCTCCTATCTGTAATGAAATAATTGATGTTCTTACGATATTCTTACATATTCCTTTTTTCACATGACTATTTTAGGTGTATCAATACATGCATGAAACGATTACTGTTAACGGCTGCCCTGAATTCCGTGCAAGGGCCACAGCAAAGGTAAGACTTGAGTCACTTTAAAAGAACACTCGACCCCAGTGATGTAGTAATTGACTGTGCGCGTGTGTGTTTCAGGTATTCTCGTGTGTACACTGTAAGAGAATTTAGACCTCAGTGGCAGCCCAGAGTCTAGAACCAGTACTACTCACCAGGTAAAAAAATCCTAATGGAAAAACTGACCTTTTCTGCTGCTTCTGTAGCTTAAGGAAGGAGAATGATTTCATTAAAATCACGAAATGTCCATTTGGCACAAGCAAATCTGCTGCTCCACTGTATTGAGTTCTACATGGTTTCTGGTACATCCTGTGGATGCAAAAGAACCCATAGCCTATGTAGAGCATGAAAACTCATTTGCATAGGCCTAAAGCCCTGATGTAAGTCAGACGTGGAAAGACTTCACCCGACATCCCTGAGCCAACACCCTTCTTTGTCCTCAGCTGGGCAATGAGTAACTTGCTGAAAGTGGCAGTGATCTAACAGAAGGCCTGGCACCTTTGTGGCAGTCACTACTTTTGTTCTTTAAAGGATCAAACCCAGAGACTGCAAAGGTCCCATTGGGAAGGATACAGAAAGAGAACCAGGAAATTTTCAGGAAGATGGATCACTAGGAAACGATCGTGGTAATCTAAAGTCACACATGCAGCTTGTGTTTTACAAATACAGAAATGTTTTAACAGAACACAACTTTCCTCATAAAGGGCTTGTAACTTTGTAATCATGCCAAGAAGTGAGAACCACTGAGAAAATCAGAAACTTTCATTCAACTCCTTTATCACCTGTTGTTTGATTTCTCCCCTGGTATTTTCAGTTTTCACTCTGTAAACACTGTTGACTTACAAGCTGCTTCTTCTTCTTCTTCTTCTTCTTCTTCTTCTTCTTCTTCTTCTTCT